AATGGTGTGATTGGATGTTTTCTTTTTTAGAGGGTGTATATGGGTTCTTTGCTTTTTGGACTGAAATGAAATCTTTTCATGGAATTGCATTTTGTTTTTATTCAGCCAATCCTTTTCCATCTGTTCCCACTCATGATCACATGTTGCAATCCCACACATGAAATGTATTGTCTGTGGGCAGTTTTCTTTCTGGATTTCTGGATGGAATTGGGTTTCGGAATATGCGTGAGTTCCATTTTGCTGTCGTCCCCTTCAAGCCTTTATGATTTGTAGGGTGATGATGTATCTTCTTAATTAAAACCTTATTTTGGTTTTTCTATTTTAATAAAAATTTTATTTTTAGTTCTTTTACTTAAAAAAGCTATATTTTAATTCTTCAAATTTATTATCCAATATCTTTTTAATTCTTTTGTTATCTTTTTACACGGTAACACATTAAATAATAGAAATTTCAAAGTAAACAAACTAGAAAGAGACTAACAAAAACCCTTTTTAGTCATCTACTTTAAAAAAAGTCTCTTCTTAATCTATTTATTATAAAATTTCATAATTTAATATGTTACGTGTGCAAAAAGATAATAAAAAAACTAAAAAAAAAAACTAATAATAAAATTTAAGGACTAAAACAATGTTTTCATAAGTAAAAGGATTAAAAAGAGATTTTCTGTTAAAATAGAGGGACCAAAATTGAAAATTTAACCATATTTCTGGGCCCTTCCTTGCTGAGTTATAATTGGGACTTTATAACCATACATTGTTTGGTCTGAATTATGTACAAAGGCAAACTTAAGCCTTTTAGTTGATGAACAAACAACCCAATGAACTCACCAACCACTAAAAAGGAAATATTTAACTTTTAACAACATTGTTTTATAGATTAAGTTTTAAAAATAGTGCTTATCTGCCTTATCTGATAAAAATTAAAATGACTATTATTTCAAAACTATGTCATTTTAAGAAACACTTATTGAAAAAGATTAAAATATCCTATTTGTAAAGTGTGAATTAAAATGTTTTTTTTTTGTCCTTTTTTTTCTTAATTTTTTTAAGGTAAGGCAAACAAGCACCAACTCCTTAAGTTTTATATTTAAATTTAGTTAGAAGTTAGAACTAACTTATAAAGAAATTTAATTTCTTTAAATGTGTGACCCTAATACAAAGCTATGTTTTTAAAATTATTGAAAATAAAATTAGGAGAACGCTAGTTACACTTTGCCCTGATTAAACGAAGTGCAATAATATTTTTTGAAAAAGTATAAAAATTAAAATATTTAATGGGAGTGAGTTTGTGCACGCAGTGCCTTCTATAAAATTAATTTCAAATATACATAAAAAAAACTTTTTATTTTATAATTTAAATTATATTAAATTATATAATAATAATTATTAAATTGAAAATACCTTTTAATATTAAAAAATTTATTTTTTATTTAATAATTTAAATTGTCTAATTCAATATAATCTAAATAACAAAATACCTTTATTTAATGGAAAAATGGTCACAATAATTGAAATAAATCATTACTTAACCATCATTGCTTATTTTCAAAAAGAGAAAAAAAATACTTAACCTTACTTTTAATAAAATGTAGTCATTATAACAGAGTTTTTTATATTCTAATTTAAATTATATTAAAT